TAATGGTATACAAAGAAACAGGATGGAGTAATACGAACCTCTAGCCACATCCCCCCTATGTTTGAATCCTATTAAGAGCAGCACCCACCTTTCTTCACGGCAGAAACATCTTTACCAATATCGATCTTTTCGCCTTTGGAGGGAACGGCAGAAGCACCTGACTCATTACCGGCATCCATAGCCTTCTTGCTCACTATTCGGTAAATTTGAGTGAGGACCTCAGCAAATGCATTTTCCACATTGGTTGCCTCGAGAGCAGAAGTCTCCATGAAGTAGAGAGATTCTCTCTCAGCAAATGATGTTCCATCCTCTGTTGACACAGCTACAAGGTGACGAAGATCTGATTTATTGCCAACAAGCATGACTACAATGTTGGGATCTGTGTGATCCCTTAGTTCCTTTAACCACCTCTCAACGTTTTCAAACGTTGAGTGGCGAGTGACATCATATACAAGAAGTGCGCCAACAGCTCCTCGGTAGTAAGCACTAGTAATGGCACGGTACCTACGCACACAAAAAATATCAGCACCAGGGGCACAAAAGAAAAGGCAACGGATGACCAAACAAATGAGCAGGGAGTGTTATGTGAAACTAGAAATTCGTTTCAGTGGGTACAGTTCAGTAAGCATGCATCTGATCTAATCACCAAAATAAACTAATTGGAAAAGACTCAGAGCAACTTGTGGCAGAAGCTAGTGGACATTGTTGAATGGTTGACTTTCTTGCTGTCAATCATGTTATAGTGTTTTTCCTAAATTATGTCTTTTAGCCCTTTGGCTTATGTTTGGTACAAAGCTCGTGTCAGTGAACAAGCTTCTTTGGTTTGTTTTATGCTCCCTAGGTAGTAAGCAAAAACAAACAAGAAGAAGCTCTCATGGACAGCAACTTATATTAGGTATTCAAAGGCGAAATGAAGTACAAAATAGGAGCATTCAGCCCGAGTTTTTCTTTTTCTTCCAGTCTCTTCTCTGCCAACAGCCAACAGCCAACAGCCGACAGCTAACATATATTGCAGCAGAATTTTCACAGATGCATACCTCAAGTCACTACTGCTTAAGCAGGATTGATGCAGAATTTAAACAGATACATACCGCTGGTCACATTTACATCACCAAGAGAAAAGTTCTTGCGACTACAAAATCTTCTGAGAGCATCTTCTAGTTTACACCATTATAGAAGCTTATACTACTAATATAACAATCTTCTGAGAAAATCTTCTACTTTACGCCTTTGTAGATGCTTGTACCACTAATATAGCATCATATGCCTGTTACTGAAGTAAGCTAAGACCTTAATCAAGGTTTAAACTCATCAGTTTGTTTCATGATCATTGACTGTCATAACAGAGTTAGGTTATATCTGTATATTTTATCTTAGTAGTAAGCTGAATGCTCCATTCACTCGGTCTGCCTCTAGGGACGGAATCATGCCTTAGCTCATTGATTGGTTTTTAGTGACCAATGTTTTGGAAAATAATTTTCCTGATCTGGACCATGAGATTGTGCCTTGCAAGTCTCCAATCATCTTCCGATCCTACTTGAATTTGGTTGCCCAAGTTAGGACCCTACTCTTTTTGGTTTGAGAACATGTGGCTCTAACACCAAATTTTGCAAGTCAGATGAAACATCAAAAGGGAGAATTTTCTAAAGCATGATGAGAAGGGTACAAATTCACGAGGCTCAAATCCATACAAAAGAAATTGAATATTTGGAATAAGGAAGTCTTGGAAATATTCTTTTGAGATACTAGGAAGTCTTGGTAATATTAGAATCAACAAGCAAGATATTCTTATTAGTTGAGTCTTTTGGATAGATTGGATTCTAATAACAGTCTCCGAATTGAGAGCGACTGAATTTGGTGCACAAAGATTTCAAGGAGATTCTTGTCAATGATGGAGACTAGTTGGAAATGATTATCAAGGGTAAAAATGGGTCGAGGAGGGAGATGGCAATACCAGCTTTTCTTTTTTATTTTTTCCATAGCTGGTCTATTGGGATAAGGCGCATGAGCTTCGTCAAAAAGTTGGAACTTCAGATGGCAGTGTGGTTAAGGATTTTGACTCTATCGAGTTTGAAGTCACTGGATCTTGGAAGAGATTAATATGGGAAGGAGGTCCTAAATCGACCTTTCCTTGAAGGTTTGGAATAGAGTCCAACTGACGAAGCTAGAGCTAGACAGTTAGGGAGACCTTTTAAGGAAGGAGATTATACTGCTTCCAACTTCGATTGATAAAGCATGGGATCCTGATAGAGTTAAGACGGTTATAGAGACCTTAGTATATATGTGAGCTAACTAGAAAATTTTACCAGATAGTCTTTATGACGATGCACAAATTAAAAAAAAAGTGCTTAGCTAACTGTTTTTACATTTAAACTACTAGTTAACAGGACGAAGTAATTAAATGTCAGAGGGATCTTAATTCTTGAAATGTTGCAAGAACTAAACTATATATACTGATGTTGGATCTTGATTGTGAAGATTTAATTATAGAAACATTTAATCACTTTCTAAAATCATTCAATTTCAAAGGAAGGATGTTATCTCATATATGGAAGCAAGCAATTATGACCACTATCATACAAGAAAGTTATCATATCCCAACACTCAGTCAATATTGGGATAGATAAGAAAAAGCTTCCATGAGTCCCTAGGAAGACTTTTAAAAATTGTGAGACTATGAAGCAAACCAACGTCATTATCATTGATGATCCAAGTAACAAGAGCAATTAATAAATGGTCATCGAAGAGATCACCATTGACTATCCAACTAATGATAACTAGTCAAGGGATCAGGTAATGAAGGGGATTGTGATAGATATTGTGATTACTACCACACAAATTGAGTCACCTAATAATGAATCTCTGGATTTAATTGTAAGCAATGATGTTGCCGAGATTGAAGGCGATAATATGCTAGTTCATTTGAAGAAAAAAGAGGAATCATCTAAAGGTACTAGTCCAAAAAATTTCTTTGGCTCCTAAAAGTAATAAAGTTTAGAGACTCTTCTTTCTTCGAATTGTCATTCCTAATTAAGTCGCGACTTCCATAAAAGGACATCTGGATTGTCCCAGGATCCTCCCAACCACTATCACATAGTTGTTAAACACTCAATTCCATTACAGGAAATTAATTAATTTTTATCCATAAGCCGCTATTTAATAATGATGAATCACCCATAAATTTATAGGCACCTACATAACTTAATATGACTAGAGCACCTAAATAGAAAAATAATAATAAAATAAGGCTTCTAGTTACATAAGAAATAAAACTACAAGTTAATAATAAGTCCATTAAAATAATTCCTAAATAAGCTAAATTCTCTCAGTCATACATCAGCATTGTAATTATATGAATATCCCATAATATTAAAAAATATCAATTCTAGTGTCTTCTTTTTCCATATTATTCTCATCCACGTATAAAAACTCAACCTTCAGTTTTGGAAGGATGAAGCATAAGGAAGGTAAAACATGGGAGTGTCCTGAGAAAACAAACATATATCCTAAGTGTATCCCAAAGGGTTAGGGAATGAAGTTATCATGACAAATTCAGCTCCAACAAACTTTACTTATCACTATTAGGATACCAAAAGAAAAAAAAGATAGTGTGGCCTCTTCATGTGGGTCCTTACTCTTCTTCGTGTAGTTCAAATAAACTAATAGATCATCATTCTCAAGTCAAGTGACATCATTACTAACCACTAAATTGGAAGATCCATTAGAACATGACTCAATTTCCTTGATAGAATTTACAGCTTTCATAATTTCCTCAGTTAACTCATTCACTAACTTGCTTCTCATAAGCTGGATAGTCAATGTAAGTCTCTTTGTTACTTGATCTTTTTAATTGCTCTCATTAGTAAATATTGATGGTACTGACCTCATCTTGCTCCATAGGAGTAGATAGCTCCTTGCATGAGGTGGTCACTGAATCACTGTAATCGTGGAAGAGAATGCGACATATTTTATTGTTGCATCAAAAATGGTTTAAGCTTGGTGGCATAACTTTCAAGAACTCTCCCTATCAACCCATGAGCACTTGGCAGAACTTTCTTGTTATATCTTCAAACCATGGGTAGGAGTATAGAAAGCAATTCTACCAAGATCAACCAAGATCTACCAACATGTTATCGCCTTCTGTAAGAAAGTGGTCATAATTGCTTCTATATATAAGATATAATGTTCTACCACTAAGATTGTGTAGATTTCAGGAAGAGCTTGAACATCTCTAAAATCAATCCTTCATAACCACGATCCAACATGACTAGATATATAATCTAAATTTTGCAATCCTTTCAAGAATTAAGATTTTCTTAACATGTGATTTCATTGTCTGTCAATTAAGATTTCAGAAGTAGAAACAGTCAACTGAAAACTTTGTACATCTATTTATCATCCGATGTACAGTATCCTAGCTATTTCATTTCACATTGACCTGCTGGGTGATTAAGAAGTTGATCAGCTACCAGTGCTTTTAATAATTGAAAAGAAGTCTCTGTTAACAACTTAGATGGCTCTTGGCATACCTTTGACAGACAATTGTTAACTTGGTCTAGAATGTAGTCAGTTAGTCGAGCAACAATGATGTGCAAGCATATGACCAATGTTCATAAGCCAATGTTCGAGCCTTTTCCTAAAAGACGACATGATATTGCTAAAAGTATACTCATTCTTTCTTCCACCAAACCAATTAAAGGCTTAAAATATGTTTTAGATCCAATAACTTTGTTACAAGCACGAATAAATGTTAATTAATTCAAATAATCAATATGCTCAAAAAGTGGTATAAAGCTTGTGAATTTTTCCAATCAAACCTGGAACACTAAAAAAGCAAGCAGGAAAACCTACTACGTGGAAGTTTATATCATAAAATCAGCATATACTAAGAAAAGGGTAACAGCAGGCACAAAACACATCCACTCCAGCTCACCGTAGGTTACACTGCAACGGATTTGGAAAGACAAAGCCTTCTATAATGATACACTCACGTAACAATTGCTTTATTCATCTTATGAAAACGAAATAGATATTCATGCTTAACAAAATATTTCTAGATTTGTTCTAAATATTGCCTCAATTGAACTTCCACCTATGTTTTACTAGTATTCACTACTTTACTTCATAGAATCAAGCACCTGGAATGACACCACGAGCAACAGGAAACCTTGATCTACTCATCCACACAAGAAACCCATGTCTGATCTACCAAAACTGAGACGATAACAACAACAAATGGAATCTACTAGGCAAATCGCAAAATGCAAAACACCATTAGAACTACTTCATGCTAAATTGCTTTGACACAGGTACCACGAGATCTACTCAGACCAAATCTGTTTCTTTTACCCAGTAAAACCCAAAACACACTCCAATTCGTTGAAGAGATCAAAACGCAAATCAATTTTTTCATGAATCTTTCTACTGGTATCAATCATAATACTACAACTACCCTATCGGATTCTTCTCTTTTACCCATTTAAAAGCTAAAACATCGAAATCATCCCAAAAAAATTGCAAAACAATAAGAAATCAAACAAAAAAAAATATAAACGCGTTTAAAACAAAGAAAATTATAACAGTTGAAACATCGGAACCCAAATTTTCCTCCTTTCCAAACTTGTATCGGCAAGCAAACACAACATCAAATACCCAGATGATAAAGACGAAAACTATAAAGTAAAAAGGAAATTAAGAAGCTAAACCTCTCTTGACCAGCAGTATCCCAAATCTGGGCCTTAATAACTTTTCCATCAACATTCAAACTGCGAGTAGCAAACTCGACCCCAATTGTGGACTTGGACTCAAGGCTGAATTCGTTCCTCGTGAAGCGCGAGAGCAAATTAGACTTCCCCACTCCCGAGTCACCGATCAAGACCACCTTGAACAGGTAGTCATACTCATCTTCAGCTCTGTATCCAGCCATTAGTCGTTCTGTTCCAACACACAGCTAACACTTCCCTTCCTTTTTGGATTCAGCGTTTTTCCTTTCTTGTCTCTTGAGTTTTTCCTTGGCTGTAAAGCAAGCTTCTTTGGGTTTTCTACAGGTTCATTGACTTTCCAAAGGGATGAATTGGAAAATGGAGAGACTGCTGCATGCTTAGCTGGATTTACGGGATTTCCAAAAGGAATAAAGTCTACGCGGGGGGATGATGATCGTGCTCTGATTTTTCATTTTTAAATAATTGGGCCGGGTTTGGTTCATTTGGGTTGGGCTTTAATTTTGACATGGGGGCCTTTTCTTTATTTTTTTTTAAAATAATAATAATATTTAAATAATAAATATAACTTTTACTTGGCTAATTACTTCTTAGTTACTTTGTTAATACTTCAGCTGAATTTATTTATTTATTTTTTATTGCATCAACAATTTGATATTTGAAAATGAAATACTCTTTCTTTCTAGTAATGCACGTTATAAAGCAAAATACATAGAAATTTTAGAAGAATGAGAAAGGTTTTACTTTTTCGCACGATCGACTGCCTCTTAATACTCCAAAAAGTGTAAGTCTTGGAACATTATTCAAATTGTAATTAATTTGAGCTGTTGACCATGCATAAATATTAAATATGAAATCTTGCATTATAGAAAAGATCAATCGTAATTCGATCGTAAGATAGAATCGAATTTGTCGATACAGCCAAATACGAGTGCACAATATGAAATATAATTAAATGGGTGAAGTAGAGACCTAAGGTTAAATACTACGATGTTGCTTAGATTTAAGTACAAACTCCAGATCATAGCACATAATTTACACAAACTCCGTACTAGAAGAAAATCGTTTATATCGAGTATGCAATTTTGAAACCTAGAGCAGTAGGTGAATGGATCTTTTTACTTAATTACTGTGGGAGAAGTTTAAGTTTATTTTTTTCCTATAAAAAAAAAAAATTAGTCTTATGTCTTGGGTGGGTTCGGTGCAATTTGTTTAATCTGTTCATTAACCTATGAGTTTAACCATTAATAACTACTTGAAATCTAATTAAATTTAAATTAGTATCATAAACACTTGGAAACAAATTAACAGGACAACTTTATAATATTATGAATTAGTGTATGCATAATGGACGGCGCCATATAATAAATAACTATCAGCAAAATGAGAATGAAAAAAAAGAAAGCAAATGTAGGAATTAATTTAATACTGAAATAGTTGTTTGGATACATATAAAAAGTAGATTAATTTTATTGTGGGTAATATATAGTTATTATTATGAAGTTGAAATTGCCTAATATAATTTATAGATTTCCACTAATATAATTTAATTTAATTTCTATATCAATTTATGATATCTTGTATTATTCTGAATAGGAATTGTAGGACATTTTGAAAGATTAAGAAATTAAAGAAAATAATTCTCGTTTTAATTTGCACTCATTTTCTCTTAATTCCATGATTATTGCTATTTTTGTATTTTTCTTTTAAAATTTCATGACATGTTATATTTGATCTTAATGTTTATTTATATATAATTTCATTTTTCCGACCCATATATACTTTTTACTCAGTTAATTATTCTTATCATTACTATATGTATATATATATCATTTCTCTAATTAATTTTTTATTTTATATTTCAATTAGATTATATATATATATATTCATTTTAATAAATTTCTTAAATTCATAATTTTACTTTTGATTAATATATTCGATAATATTTTATCATGACAAATCTTATGAAACTTGAAAATTTAATCATTGACGTTACGAATAATTATTATAGATCATATCTGATTACATATATGTTATCTTTAAGATTTTGTATTATTTTTATATAATGAAATATATAAATTTTTACTCCGAGAAATCATATTTGATAGAATTGATATAAGAATTACTATCAGAAATCTCTTTTGACATAAACAACAAAAGAAAAAAAATACTGTATCATCATTCTCTTTTCCCAGAAATATATAAATATATATTATCTAACATTCTCTTCCATATAAAGAAATACATAAAAGACGATATTCTCATCACAGAATGTGACTCCTGATTCCACGGATGAGCAAGATAAGAGGGATAAGAGCCATTAACATGCAGACAAGACTTTGATAGAAATTGAGCCTCACTATTCCCCCATTTGAGAGAAGGAGATGTCAAGAAGAAATGGACAAATCTAGCAGATGAAATTAGGGTTTATACCTTTTGAAATATCAATATAAAATTCATAATATTCTTGAGCAGACACAGGAATGGGAACCATGGTTTACCCTAAAAAAGGCTACAATAAAACAAAGCTATTAAGACTGATCTAAGAAGGCGCCCACTTACTAAAATCCAATATGCTACATACATGTATATACATATAGGTTTTATATGTATATGTATTGCATGCCCTTTTTAGCAGCATACTGTTTGGGCGTTTATATGTATTTATGCCTGTGATGAATAGGATATGAGAGAAGAAGACACAGGCTCTTGTCATGCCATGTAGTTGGCCTTTTTCTAGGCAGGCAGAAGAATACTCACTCATCGGCTCACTGTTTACATCTATTGTTTTTTAGTATATATAGTTGCTTTTTAGGTTCTTTCATAAATAATTATTAAGTTCACACACAGTACTTATAATTTTTTTATTTAAAATTAAAAGGCAAGACAAGGCGGCTGCTGCTATATATATATGTATGTAATATATATATGGGTAGAGTTCTGTTTTAAACAGATCAAAAGGTAGGTTTTTGAAAAGTGGAGAAGGAAGAATACAAGAGGAAAGTAAACGATAAAGAATAAACCACAAGTGATTAGTGTCAGAACATGTGACCTACCATACCCTCTACCCTCTATGTCTGCCTCACAAGACACACCCAGAGGCCCGTGAAGACTCCATGTCTCTTCTACTTCCTCTCATTATCCACCCATATATATACACACACATATGTCTATATATATATATATATTGATTATACTGGCACAGTCATGACTAGCTAAATTCTGACTGCTGTAACCCCTCAGTACTACTGACAAGTTCCCGTATCCCTTCCCATGCATGCCTCCCTCCAAAAATTTTCACCCTCATATACATATGTGTGTTTGTGTGTTTACTAATATATATATACACATATCTTTACCTCTGAAACCTTATTCAGATTACCTCACAAGTACGGTAGCATTTCCGGCTAGATCAGGCAAAACCAAACAAAAAATATGACAAGTGTGGAGTTTGTTTATGTATTTATCATTTCAATCCGGCATTATCATGTTGGCATTTGTTGTTTATACTTTCATTCTTCATTAATTCATTGGCTAAATATATAAACAATTTCTTTTAGTTATTAGTATTTTTAAATTATAATTTCTTTTAACTATACATAATTATGTCGTTGTATTTGCTCACACATACATAATATATATCCTAATTTAAGTATTTAGTTTCCAACACAGATACCAACTAATTAAATTAGTAGTTCTTTTTTGTTACATATAGATTTCTATATATTCGTCAAACATGTAATATACATACATCAATTATAATAATATAAAAATAAATTTTAAATAAAAATACACACATACGATAATAATTTGACTCAAACTAAAATTAATGATCTAATCAATTATACATAGATTTGAGATATTAATCATATTTATAATATTTCAACTCATCTATTGGCCTAAACTCCCTTTTGATACTCAATAATTTACACTTCTATATATTATTATATTGCATTCTATGCTTAAAATAAATTTTTAAGTAAGTAGATTTCGTTGAATATTTTCCTTCTTCCCCGTTACTTCCTTGTGTCATTTAACAAGTAACTTGTCATACTAGATTGTATATCGAGAGAGAAATTATAATTTTACATTAGAAACAAAAAAAAAAAATTGTAAGTTATGCGAACTTCATCCAATCAAGTTATTATATTATATTAATATTAATATGATTATAATTATATTCATATTTATATACACATATCTATCAATACATATACTGAGTTAGGTTCATACGAGCCTTAATGAGTAAAACCCTAACCCGTCCAATTTTTAGATTATTTATCTATTAATCTTAACTCATCTCGAATCCATCATTTAACAAAAGTACCTGTATTAAATCGAATTCGAATATATCAAATTTGTAACACAATTGGAAATTCAAAAGAAAATATATAATAATTTAAGTGCGGAAGCAAAATAAAAGGTTAAGTTTTACATTCCTTACACAATAACTTAAAAATACTAAATAATATTACATAATGAATATTCTGAAAGAAACACGAGAAATAAGAAAAGTAATAGAAAATAAAAAGTATTTAGCATCTATTCGCAATCTTCTTGCGGATCGGGCTCTAAAACCAGTTTCTCTTGATCTGAAATTGTTAAATAAAAGATAAGTTACACTAGCCCAGTAAGGATATCACACTATATCACCGACACAGAAATAAAGATTGGTATAAAATTAAAACAACTAATGGAATACCAAATTTAGCAAATTCGTTTATCAATCATAGAATCATTTATCGTTCACTTACGGTATTGGAATTTATAAAAACAACTTATAGAGACAATAATACCATATAAATCATAACTTCATGAACAACCAGCAACATAGAACATATCATAAACTCATATCCATTAACAATAAACTAAATCATAACTGTTTTTCATTTTACCAGCCTACTAGTATCCATAGGGATCCATAGGGGTATCCCCGCTATACGTGAACTATTTTCCTTAATAACCTCAATTACAGAGCCGTCTCCATATTCCATCCAGTATGAGCGCTAAGATATTGAACCTCAGTACCCCATCCGGTATGAGGGTGAAGCGTGTCGTTCCCATACCCCGTTCGGTATGAGTGCCAAATTACCAAGTCTTCATACCCCATCCAGTATGAGACAACGTTCACGATGGGGTTCCCTATGTAGCCGGTCCGTTCACCATCTCCCAAGATATCTAGTAAGATTGTCATTCCATCTGTTTATTTGATCATACTCATTTTCTGTTTTTATTTAGTCTCTATTACTAAATCAAACATAATCATATAAACAAATAAACATGCACTTGGTAATGCAATCATGTCTCAAATTCCAAATCAAACAGAAGTCAGGTAAGACAGTAATACATGCATTTAAACCATAAAATAGATAAATCAGATACTATTATACTTTTATACTGTAAAATAAATCAACAGAGAACAATGTCCGGTTCGGGCTCCATTAACAATCCGTAATTAATTATGCACATTTATTTAATTTGTACAAAATACTGTATTATTATTTATTTAACTTCAATTCTATGATAGAGAATAGGGTGAGAGATCCTTACTCGATTTGACGCCGAAAAGATAAACGGTTTACTACGGTTACGGGCGGTTTCTAGGTTCCCTGAATTTTTCTCTGGAAAATAAAACGTGCTTATAGTACCTATAAATGGTCCAAATAAACCAAAATCAATCTCAGGGCCTATTCGGCCAATTCTAAAAATTCGGCACGGCGACTGCGCCATGCTCTAGCGACAATGTCGCCGCCCGCGGCGGCGGTCCGCCTCGAGTCGGTCATTTTCAACCGAATTCGACCTATTTTACATCGATTCCTGCGAGCACACATGCTAAAGGGTCTCGGTGGGTCGAAAAAATACGAAAAATCGAAACTCACCGGCGGTGGAGGTCTCCGGTGCGGCGCTCCTCCGGCTCACGTTGTGGTTGAGTGTTTCGCTTCGGTCAACCTGTAGAGAAGAAAATAGTGATCACAATGATGGAAAAATTATGCGAAAGGGGAATCAGAAAGGGTCTCATCGGAGGCAGTTTGTGAAATTCCCCACAGCGGCGCCGTCAGGTTTCGTCGGTATTTTCCGGCCAATTCGTCGGTTTTTTTCACTCCAATTTGGGCATAGATAGGCTTAAAATTGAATTTCGTGCGAAATGAAATTTTTTTATCTTTTTTAGCAGTCCGATGCGGCTGCGGGTGGCGGCGGTCGACTCCCCGGCGGCTGAGTTGTCTTCTCCAGCGAGGGGTTCTGGCGGCTAGGGTCAGGATTTGGTGCGGATAGAGGTTATTTATACTAATCCACTTTTGATATGGACCGTTCATCGCGTTTGATCTGGACCGTCCGATCGTGATTAAATAAGGAGTGAATTTGAATCGTTCATCGCGATCCAATATGAGCCGTCCATCGCAATTCACTCTGATCCGTCCGTGCGCGCAGGAACGGATCTCAGTCATTCGATTGCGCTCACGCGGATCGCCAACTTAGCTCCCCCCGCGTTAGCACCTCTGTCACTCGAGGCGTCTTGGTTGGTCGGGGCTACTGACCAGGTGTTTGACGTGGTAAATTTTTTTTAAATTGGATTTTGACATTCAGTTTCCGATTTTTCTTTTAAAAATATTCTCAGAATCCAATTTTTTACTCTTTTTTTTCAAAATTATTTTTAATTTAATACTCCATATATTTTACTCTATTTTTTATTAAATTAAAATAAATAATTAATTAATTATATTTATTAATAAAAAATAATAAATAAAAAAAAAGTTTTGGTAGGTGTTACAAAATTAAAAAAATCCAAGTCAAAAATATTATTCCTATACAAGTCTCTAAAATAATACAACAATGGAGGATTATATTCTAAACTGCATCCCTAATATAATTTTATTTAATTATGCGGAGAAAAAAGAAAAAGACCCATGTAAGGATATTAATTCTAATGTAAGCGAGTACTGGTAATTATTTATATGATTAAAAAATTAATTAAACCAGTTATGTAATAAGTTTAAATTTATAGAAAAAGATGAATTTATTATTTATATTCTATTAGAATAAAAAGCATGAATTATATGTATGTTTACCAAAATTGGAGAAGTAATTTGAGTCTGATATTATAATACATAATTTATTGAGACGATTATCGAAAAAACTACTGTGTGTGATGTCTAGTAGGCAGCACGTGAAAACTTGGAGAAGAAGTTTGTATAATTCCAATACAATAAAATTCTAAAAATTTTCAAACATTTTGGATTCATCGTCTAGTTTTTGGAATTTTGACAAGAAAAATTCTGACAGACAGTAACAAAACCAACCAACGACGAATAAACTTTCTTTTTCTTTTTTTTTTTTTTCCTTTCTATTGATTAAATATTTCTTATTCTTGTCTCCTTTTCAATTCCAGATATTATTATTTATTTATTTATTAATATATATCACATAAGACAGAGGATGGTAGCTTGAAAATTAGAGATCCCAATACATATTCTCTCGTGTGTGTGTGTATATATATATGTGTCTATGACATACACTTAAAAAGCATGCCCACCATTTTCAATCCACTAACTCATCTCTTAAAGTTTCACAAAAGGAAAACGAAGAAAATGGTTTCTAAGGTATTGCGAAAGAGATCATCAAAAGCTCTAAAGAAAAAGGTACGCACACGCGCATATATATATATATATATATATATATATATATACACAACAAACTATATAATCTTCTTCTTTCTTGACGTGCCTCTGTGTTTGTATATATGTGTGTAATATACATATTGGTTTTTGAAGGAAAAGACGGAGAAAGTCATTATGAAGGCTCTTCTCCACATATTCAAGCTAAAACTCAAGATGGAGGCTATCAACAGAGAGTACTCTAATTTGTTGGAAATCAAAAAACAATACTTAAACCTAATTAAACAGATCCAGTTGCCCAAGGTCTGCTCTATCTCTCTCTCTCTCTCTATATATATATATATATATGTGTGTGTGTGTGTGAATATATATTGATGGGTAAGTAGATATATATATGTTATTACATTTTTGCAGGCTCTAGTGAAGGTAGTGAAGATTGAACAAGGGTTTTTATTGAGGATAACCTGCAACCAAGGAGGAGATCATAGACTTGTGGCAATATTAGAGAGGTTGGAGGAGATGGGTCTAAATGTCGTTCAAGCCAGAGTTTCATGCACCTCTAATCTGTTCACCATGGAAGCCATTGCTGCAGCTGATGATGATCGAGATTTGGACGTCAGCAATATGACTCAAGCTCTTGCTAACGCCATTAACGGTGATGATCAAAAACAAAAGGAAAAAATCAACCAGGACTGTAAAAGCACAGATGAAAATGCTTAATTATTTTTCTCATTGACGGTAATTTAACTTCCTGTGTGTTGAAGATTTATATATGAGTGTAGGTAGGTTCTGATCTCTACTGCTTTGTCACTGTCATCTTTAATGTAAAAAGGGTAGACTGGGAATGAGCTCTGAAATTTGAACTTGGATTTTGTTTTTTTTTGTTTTTCAATATGTTTATTTTCTCATGAGGTTCTGGTTGCAGATAATTGACTGACTGATTCATTCTTCAAGAAAAGATCAAATGGGTTCTAGAAATTAAAAAAAAAAAAAAAAAAAAAAAAACCTCTCTGCCCAATCTAGTTGCTGAAATCCGGGATTAAAATATTGGTTTCAAATTTTCTTTTGAGGAAATATTTTAACTACAACACCCAAAAATTTATTACTTTATACCTAGGTTCTATTTTTCTTTCCAGGCAGAATGGTAAAGAGTTATATCACAGGAAAAAGGGTATATGAAAAAATTTTGATTTTAGGATAAGCAAATATGTTTGGCCCTAATTCATTTATATATAGATAAGTGCATCAATAGGATAGAAGTTAAATCCTGATGTTTGTATAGTGAATTATTAAAAGTATTGTCAAAATAACTTGTAGTAAAATAATGTATTATGTTTTTCAAAACTATATGTGAAAAACACAATCATATTGTAAAACAGTATTTAAATGATTATAAACATTCTTAGAAATTATTCAAATTACTTTGACTTGACCATTTAATTTTCATGCCCGCATGGGTGTTTATTGGAATAGGGTTTTCAGAAGAAAAATAATGGGCTTGGGCTTGGACTTGGTCCATGGGCTTTGAACCCGGCCCAATTTGAAATAGGGTTGTTTCATTGATAATGGGTTTTGATTATTTGGACCAGATATTGGTGTCATGTGATCCGACTCTCTCCCTTTTTATTATTACAATTCATGCATAATTCGAGTTTTTCCGCGTATGGGAATAAACTTTGAGGTCCATTTTTGTACTTCTCTTTTTCCTTCTCTTCTCCTTTTCATCAGTTTGGCCTCCACTCCATATCATACAACACCTCTTGGCAGCCATGAAAAGAAACTAAACGTACACAGAACATGCCCTCGGATCTTCAATCTGGGAGAATCTGTCGACAGACTGTTTTCATCTTCCTTTTCAATTTATTATCAACAAGACATGTGTGTGTATATATGTGTGTGTGTGTGTGTGTGTATACATTGTGTCGAAACCACAACTTTAACTTGATTCTCTTTGTGATCTAACTTATCCCTCCTCCCCTTTCGTACAATATTGAAAAAGACACTTAAATTCATGCATTGACCATGCAATGTCGACATTGCAATCTCCCTACTTTTATTACAATCTCTTTTTTGAGTAATTCCATAAAAAATTATTCAAATTATATACGCGATGCGTTATACCAGTACAACAAATAAAAGGTGCAGTACAAATTATCGTACTACAATTCGGTAACATAATTTTATAAATATTTTATAAATTAAAAAATTATTAGGTTTACAAAATATATTTACGTTCAAAACATTAAAAATTTTGTAAACCGACGTGTGACTACAATAAGTTAGAGTTGTACTCTGTAGTAAGAAGTTATCATCAATTTTAAAAGTGATTTACTACTAACAATTTGAATTTAACTTTTTGGTAATGTATGATTTTGAGTTAGAAAAATATTTGGTTATAAATTAAATTTGTGGCATAAATTGTAACATTTAGAATTTTAAGTAATACTAATTCAACGACTCTTCAAACACAAATTACTTATCTTCAAATATTTAAATTCAATTATATAAAACTCAGTAATCACGTATCGTTAAAATGTAAAATTAGAATATTACATTAAAAAAAAATTACAATAGTAGAACAAAATATTTGCTTAAAAATCAGTATATATTCGTATCTTGATAAATATGATACGACATGGATCAAATTCATGTAGCATAGAAAAAGGAGAAGAAAAAGAAAACCAGTGTAGGTTTGAAAAGAGTGGAATCACAAGGAGATAAAAGAGAGTGTTGAGGAACCATTTTTCATAAAACGATGAATGGTATTGTTCCATGGTATATGCTTCATGTAGGAAAGCATAAATACAAGCTTAGTTTCTAGCAATAACTCAGGTGAGTTAAGAGGTGATGCAGCTGAAGATTACTGGGTGAAATCTTTTTTAGGCAGGTGGGCAATTTTCTCTTCAATGAGCCTCCTGCCAAAGGAGATTTGCCCGGCAATTCTTCTGCATTTTATTTGTTCTTTTGCCTTCAAAAGATATTTGGACACTTGATCTTATTTATTATTGATATCATTTAGAATGTCATCTCATCTTTTCATTTAAGGTAGTATCTACTATATATATATATATGTGTTTCTCTACCATATTTTTTTATATTTTAAGTTATAATATCTCTAAACTCAACTATATTAACTTAATTTAAAAAGACTTCTACTATTTTATTATTTAGAAAAAAGTTATTTTTTTTCCTCTTATTTATACACATTTTTAACATTTAGTAAATATAAAAAATAATAACCAGAGCGTTGAAACTTACATAGAATAGGATTTACTCTCAATTAATGATTTGTTTTGTCTTTTTTAAGCTTGTTTCTAATATTAAGTTTATTTTGTAGTTCTTATAAGCATTTTATAATCTTACGGAACATCCAATAACGATTGTTATTTTGTGTAGTTATAAAATGTTAATTATCATATAAAGGAAGGTCAATTCTCAAGGTATTACAAAATGGTATTAAATTATATTATGTAAACATGCATTAGTGCAATCTTGGATTTTGTGGGTCTTTATATTATGATTCACAATTGTGATACATGATCTTGTTGTGGAGATTATGATATCTAAATCTAACATCTTAACTATGTGAATTGCTAAGCTTTTATTAAGGGCTCGAGTCACTCAGTTACTCAGGCTTAACTAGTCATTTATGTATGGGAAAGCACATGAAATTTATGTAAGTATAAATTATTTGAACTTTATTTTTTAAAATTATATATTAATTATAATAAATAAATATTACTAATTATTATTATTATTATTATTTTCCTAAAGAAATTTAAACAATCGCTACTTTGGGTAACGAGACCTGAAAATTTAGTTCTCTCAGACATCAATTAATATCATTGTATGAGACAACCGGTGGATTACCAAAAAAAAAAAAAAAAAAAGATTGAATCAACTTGAGCATCATCCTTCCATTAACCAAGTTATCACAATCTTGGAGGAAGGCGCCACTTCCAGCGCATCTGACCAAGAGAGGCGGCGGAGAACATCTCATGGTTTATGGAAGCTATCGAGGGAATCATCATAGACATCTTCATCAAGGCTTTTAACTTCATAATCTAACCACTAATTCTCCCAAGATCATCGTCCACTCAGACTTTTCAATCACCGTGGTATGGTCATTTGATTTCGCAGCAGAATTTTATTTAAGTTGCAGATTTAGAAAAATGGAATGTATCAGTCTCTATGTCAGATATGAATTTAATTTGGTCCTTTTCTAAATTCACAGTTTTTTTTATGACAGTTTTCACAAGTCGTTACCACAATTAATTGACAGTTTAATGAGACTTAATTGTTACTTATCATTATTACATGATACCGCAGATTCTTTGTAAACAATGAAAGCATGTAAGCATTGTTCGGACCTTAGATTATGGAAAGGAAGATACTATAACACATTCTGCGTGCAAACAGTTCCCTCCAGATGCCAGAACCTCAAAGTCATAAAATTGCATGATACAACAGAAATACAGTCATAATAAAGATCCTACTACATTCAAAAGCAATGGCATTTTCAATTCTTTGATTGAATGGAAGGAATGCAATGCATTAGTCGTGAAGAGTTCCTAAAATATCTTCATCCCTGTAAAGATGATACCTGAAATAGCACACAGAAGAATGTAGATCAATAAGTATTTGTTTTTTCTGGTTCGTGAATGAGTCATATCAGCTGAATGAGCAATAACCCTCTCCTTTCATAATCTTTTCAGCTAATGTGCAGTGAAATTCAACTCGTATAAAAAAGTAGATTAACTTTAGACACCCACAAAAAAAAAAGCATATGAACATTACTAATGGTACCCGTGAGAGGCGACATACACGACAGCAGATGATTTATGATAGCTTGCAACAAATGGATGTTATTGTAAATAAATGCAGCAGCAAATTTGTAACAAACTTGCAAGAAGATAGCTGACTATAAAATTGCTTCATTCTATCAAAAAATGAATAAAATGAAATAAAAACAGAAGCAATTTTCTGAGGAATTTATAAATCACATTAATCATCAAAGTCCTGTGAAACTTGTAAAAGCAGAATGGAAGATACTACACTAGGAGAGCTCCTCCCCCATTGCATGTTTTGTTTTGATTTTGCCTCAAACACATGCATGTAAACACATATCAACTGACATATACAAGGAAAAAAACAAGTATGCTCATCACATTTCGTTTATAGGTTACTCTTTTCTTTTACAAGGGTTTTGCTGTCTAACAAAAACATGCCAAGAACACATTGGCGATTTCAGCGCATTTCACAATCAATAAAGAGAAAAATAAAGCTTGTACAGTCATAGACTGTCCCTTCATAATCAAGGACTGAGCTATCGTCCATTTCACAAGAAGCAACTGACAGAAGTTTGGAAGTGACAAAAATGAACTAAAACTTTCATGGCACCCTCAGGGGGCCAATCTTTACAGGACAAGCCAAGACTGCAAAAGAAAGGCTCCCAAATGATGAAAATCATTCTTGGGCCTTACTAGCAAAGCATGCAAAAGACGGGCTGACAAATAATGAAAATCACTTTTAGAAAATCCAAATGATAAACTGGAAAGTAGTATACTCTTCACTTTGTGACTTATGACAAAACTTATCTAAAAAGTATTCAAAGTAGAGACGCAAATATTATTCACTTTGTGACTCATGACAAAAGAAAATACCAGCACTTATGTTTAGTTTATGAGTTGGTGGCAGACTGAAGTAGAGCAAAGCATTTTTGAAAACACCTTTTTGAGAGAGAGAAAGAAGAAAATTCAATAACTTGCCCAAGAGCTGATCACCAAATCTGGAGGGGTCTATGCTAAGCCAATGTGAGTTGCAGCATAAGATATTGGAAACATTATATACCTAAGCACACCAAAAAACTAAATTATATAACTAAAGCAATCACTATAATTTTTTTCTTTAAAAAAAAAAACAGCTCAAGATTTTACATAAAGCCTGTTGAATTCTTAAAGCAGGCAGTACAATGCTCATAAATCTCTAAAGACTTGCCACTGAAATGCCTCTTGTTTTATTACGTAAGAAGTGACCTTTTATATGGGATTTTGTCCGAAACAAAAAATACGATAACTTAGTTTGATATCGTTGAGTAATTAAAAGAAGTCATGGTGTTGCAAAGAAATGTGAAGGAAATTATTCTCTAGATAAACTGAACACACGATAGTTTCTAGGACAAGGAAACACCAGCCATGGAAAGGAAAGCATCAGTCATAAAAATCCAACTTGAAGTATATTATTGCTATCTTAAACTTGAATCAAACTACGAACTCATTTCAATCAAGGCAGTGGAACTTACTCTTGCTCACCAAGCTTCACTTGAGTGCCTCCAAACTCTGGTAAAAGAACAGTGTCTCCTTCCTTTACAGCCACAGGAATAAGCTTCCCATCTCTATCACGACTCCCAGGGCCGACAGCTACAACTTTTCCAGAGAACAGCTGATTAATGAAACATGCATTATGAGACAATCAAGATCAGAGATAATGGAAAATGTAAATAAAGCTCTGGGCTCAGAAAGAAATTCATCAAGCTTCCAATCAAAAAGCAATTTTAAAAATGTTTCAAGAGTATTGAAAGAATAATGACCGTAATTACGGATGAATGACGTACTTATAGGTATCACAAGGAAACGAACAAAATTTTCATTAGAGTCTTGAAATTAATAAACTGTCAATGGTGAAAAGATCAAAAATGTCTACCACTCTTCTTCACAGAGATGAATCATGTATCTATTACTTGCAGAACACGATGGTGAAAAGCTTATAAAGTTAATTTTTCTAAATTTCAGACTTTAAAAAACAAGGCATTCATGGAAGAAATCCCAACAGCAGAGAAATGACGGATAACCACAGACAAAAAAGAATTCTTATAATACAATAAAACTAAACAGAACTGCTAAAAATAATCCATTATCTAAACGAAAAAGCTCTACTATCCTACCCAGAATGACATACACAGTCGTAAGACATATACATATACATATATATAGACGTGTACATATGTATTCTTAGGTGCAAAACCATATAAAGAGATTCGGAGACTGGTTACAGAGGAAGTACATATTATAAATAACCAGAAACAAAAGGAAACATGGGTTTTGATATTAATTAATAAAATCAAAATCATGTCTAATATATAAAGAAAGTGGATATTTGCTGTAGATTAAATAACCTTCCACTGAAAGCAAGCAGAATAGAAGACAGGCAGAAAAGGGTATATTCAACTTCCATTAAGATTAAATTGGCAAATAAGCATGCAGAAGATTAAGCAGACACGAACCGATCTGTAAGTAATTGCATGAACTATACAGTTCCAACAGGCCAGAAAGAAGAATGCAAAAACAAATTACTTTTGAAGAAGGAAAAAAGAAACAACACACAGAGAAAATAATACTCGAGAAAACAACCAATTCCAGAAGTAAGCAACAAAATATACAATTTGGAAGAATGAATACTCGAGAACTAGAAGTTACACAGAATACACTAGGGGGACGGAAAAGAAAATAAATAAATAAATAAATAAAAACCTGGGGGGTTTTCTCAGGGAGTAAAATTCCAGACTGGGTCTTGGAGGGAGGAAGGATTTTCTGAACCAAAACGCGATTGAAGGATGGAATCAAACGCTTCAGCGCCATTTCTGAATGCGATCGCACAAAAACTGAAAGCTCAATCAGAATGCTAGGCGCTCCTGCTCTTCTGTTTGGAGTACCCAAGAAGGGTAGGGTTTAAGTCGGATTTATGTGAATCCGAGCTCTAGAAGCTTCCGCTCTTGTCTTGGGTCGAGAAGTGTAGGGTTTAAGCGGGATTTATGTTAAGCAGAGTGCTAGAAGCTTCTGCTCTTAGCCGAGAGTAGGGTTTAAAATCGGATTTATGGCACCGGGAAATTACAGTAACGCCCAAGTATATGTTCTTAGCATTAAAGCTAAATGGAACGTTTGGGTCAAATACCCGAGGGTAGGGTCTAAATTTGTGTTTTGAATTTAAAAAATACGAGTAAATAAATGTAAGAAATAAAAAAAACATTTTGAAAATTATGTATTTCGTAAATAAATGTTATAAATTAATAAAAAATTTAATTTATTATTGTAATAATTTTTTTATTTTTGAGTATATATAAATATATATAATACAAATAAATATTATAGGACTCTCCCTTGTATTGCATTTTTCAAATGTGCTTGTTCTCCACTTTTTTCTTACCGCGACAAGTATTTGTGAAATAATTCCGATGAGAAACAAAAAGATGGCTTTAAAAGATCTTCGTGATCCAATTCTAGACACTTTAATTTATTTTTTTTAAAAAAATTATTCTTATTACGAATCAAGAAATAAATAAATAAACACTAATATTTTTTTATATTGATTTTGTCAAATACAAAATATTTTTTCTACAAATTACTTTAAAGCGTAAATGAATATAATTAAAAAAATCAGTCAAATTAGAAACATAAATAAAAAAATAGTAAGAATTTCATTCTAAATCAATAAACTTTATTTTTAAGCACTAATTCAAGCTAATTTATTTCTAAATAAAACAACTATAATTTTTAAGCACTAAATCAATATTTAAATCAATAAGCCCTAATTTATTTCTTAAAAAAAAATCTCTATTCTTAATCTAAATTATAAATAAATAATACAGAGCCATCAGAGTTGCTGGATTTCAAAAACATGTGTTGTATGTGTGTCTCTCTATATAATATATTTATATATATATATATATATAGAAACAATTGGAATTTTTTTGGAGATTACATGCAGTTACTAATTCATGATCTGGACATATACAGAATGATAATTTTATGCTTGATTTTACAAGAATTTTTATGAAAACTTTTCATTTGCTTCTCTTTCATGAAATTTTTATTTCTTCATAATGTATCATGATTACAGTAGAATGCATCATATATATATATATATATATATATATATTATTAACCTAAATTATTTAAATATTAATTAGTTTTACAAATCCAATTTGATCCAATTTTAAAACTATATTATCATTGTAGATGAAAAGAATATTATTACCTCAGTTAAAAATATTTGATGGATTATCGATTGCAAGTAGGGTTGAATTGCCGGGCAAATCTCCTTTGGCAGTGAGCAAGTTACTTCCATTATAAATGGTGAAATGGGATTGCTACCTGCCAGAGGAGTAATTGCCCAGTAATGCAAACCTACACTCTTCTTCTTCGCTTCCTATATCTCTAATTGCTTTTGCTTTTTGTTTTTTTGTTTGGGGGTTGGGTTGATGAACAGTGTCGGAGGGGGGAATGCTATATATATATATAAGGAGGGTGATATAATTCCATGCATCAATGGCATATTCTTGTAGATATTGACCTCTGAATTCTACGTTATCTTATTTTTTTAATTTAATTACAAAGATAATTACAGCTCTATTATCCCACATTGAATAAATGTTCAATTCTAAAGTAATATATATTTACCCTTCTGCCATAATTGATATTTGGAGATTTTGATTATATTTTATTTTTATTTTTTCGGAGTTTATAAATAGCATATTCTCAGCACATCCTGCTCTAATTCTTTTTTTTCTTTATAAAAAAAATAAGTAAATAAATAAATTTGTGCTGTATATGTACCAAGTGGTCCTTTTATACCTGTTTGATAGTTATACTTGGTGATTTCAATTTGCCTCTTCACATCAATACTAGGTTTTTCCTAAAATTTTTGTGCCTATAACATCAACTAAAGTCATCAGTAAAATTTTACTAAGAATTTAGCAGTTGTCTATAAGATGTTGTTCTAGCTAATTATGAAGAAAATTTCATATCTTTCTATTCCATTCTAGTTAAAAAAATTGAAATTAATAACTAAAAAAAAAATGAAACCAACTAAGTCTAATTAAATAGTATGACTCCGTCTTCCTTAAAATATTCAGGATCCAGCTAATCCAGTCTGTAAATTTCTTTCACAAACCCTAATAAGTCGAATATTCTCTCAACTAGCTCCTTTCTTCTAATCTTCTCATTCACTATTGCAGCATATACAATACCAATCACAATATCAATAGGCACCGAGCATTGCATCGTTGCCACTCACCTATAACATCGCATGTAGCACACACAGGCAACACTACATTAGAGCAACACTACATTAGAGCAACACTTCTTTCACCATTATAATATTCCTAACACTCAGCGTGAATTTCTCATGAAGACAATAATAATTGTGATTCAACCCGCTACTCTAATTTCACAAGCAATAATAGAAGTACTTATTTTTTTTATATGAATTGTTACTTAAAGTAATTATATTTTAAGATGAGTACAAAAAATATATTATATAATTATATATTTAAATTTTAAATTGATTACAAACTCCGAAATTATGTATGGTATAGCTCTTCATCCTTTATTTATTTTTCACACCTCATTTATCATGTATGTCTTCTACTATGATAATCTCTTTGATCACTTATTTGTTTCTTACACCTCATTTTTGTTATTAATTATTTTACTTTTATAAAATTTTGTTGGTGTAAAATAATATTTATGTTATTTTTTATAATAATTATAAAAACTTCTTTTAAAATATATCTTGTTCCTAGCGTAGGCTGAAAATGTAGTTGTATATTACATTAGAATTAGCTAATAAATTAAATTTACTATTTTTTTAGAAATAAATAATTTATTAAATAAATTATGTATTTATAATTTTTATTAATTTTTAATTAAAATAGATTTTGTAAAAGTTCATTTTCGATTCACTCCATATCGAAATGTAGACTAGCTAAGGCCTCGGTCCACCTCTTTTATAATTTTTTATCCTGGAGTATGGTTTTACGTATAGTTCCATTCTACACTAATGAAAACCAATAATTGATATTGATTTTTTTATGGTGGAATCCATATATCTCCTCTTTCTTCTTTTAAAATGTGTAGGTACTTATAACTAGTATTAATTAGGTCGGATGAAGTAACTTAGGAAATTTCAATATTGTTTTAAAATTACTTTGTCTAGAGTTTTCAGAAGTTTTTCCAAGGTTTAGCGAGGGAGATTGTGAAATTATTCTAATTTCAGAACAAATAATTACCCTTCTATATATGTATATATAGTTCTAGAAACATTGTAATTTTTGCATTGAGGAGTTAACGTCGCTTCATGAAAGTTAAAGACATGAAATATTAAAGGATGTAGACAAGTCCTTCAATGGTTTTATGTACTGGTGAGGGACCAAAAATCCATGAAAGATAAAGGAAAAACATCATTTACAGGAATTTTCAATAGCATATCCTATTTCTCTTTTGTGCATGGCATATCCATGCATGATGCGAATAATCATCTATATATATGTATATATGGATGTTTCAAGACTATATCATCAGGGCTCAAACCATGCCATGCATTGGATTTTCTGAAACAGACTAATTAAAGAGGGTTTTTGAGTGTGGTTGAGGAATAACAGCGCAGTCCTCCTTTGGCAGAGAGAGCTGCAGCATGTAGCCAGCAAGGCCGATTATGATGATGCATGCATGCATGTTCTTGGTTTGCCAAAGGAGAATTGCCCTGCCATTCCCTCTCACAGTTTCTATATATATATATATATGTATCTCATGGGCAACTGGAAGCTGGAAATCGTGAGGATATCAAACACCATACAAATTTGTTCTCATGTTTCCTATTATTTCTGGGAAGGGTATATATATATAGCTCTCTTAGTTATTATGAATTTTTTGCCTTACATTCTCATGATTTCATAAATTCTGAGAGTATTATGAATATTTAATTAGAAAAATAATTAGGTAAATTCAAAGAATAGAAATTATCTTTAAATTCTTTTCTGAAAATTTCTTGAACAGTGTTGGAAATCCACTGCGAGCCCTACTAGAGAGTATATAAAATGAACCAAGTAAAAAATTTCAGCCTTCTGGAGACCCATTCTTAAATTTTTTAATCTACAATTTTTAGATTCATTTTATATATGTGTATATATAATTATATAATAATTAATTCCGTGCATAAATATTAATTAATAATCTTCAATCTGAGTAGCTCTCTCTATTATCATTAATATAATATTGAGATATTAATTATCATAATTAACGTTTTCTTTTCCATTTCTTTCAGGTTTTACATCCAAAGCGAGCGGTGGATATAATTTGAAGGTCAGACTTCTAAAGATAATGTGTATACAAATGTGTGTATATATATATATATAACACAGAAAAGCACGAGGACGGACAAGGAGAGCATTTCCATGTAGGAGCGTGACTAAGACTACGAAGAGAAGCAATTGAATTGAATGAATTTATGAGTAGCTAAAAACTCAAAAAAAATAAATAAGATAAAATTTGTATTAAGATATTTAAAAATAATCACATAAAAATATTAAAATTTTAATTAAAAAATTCATTTAATGTGAATGATAAAAATTATGAAATCTCTCTTGATTTAAATAAAAGAGTTTTACTATAAAAATTAGTGTTTACAGCAAATACAAATAAACACAATAATTATCAAACGAATTCTCAATAATAAATCAATCAAACAAAAAGAAATAAATAAATGAATTGAGAAATATCACCAAAATAATTATTGTTCATACAAAACGAATGTGTTCTAATTGTTCAAATTCGATCTCCACTTTTCAGATCAAAGAATAACTTATCCTGAACATGCTCACCAAATTTCAGCCTCATCAGACCGTAAATAACTGTCTGATCGTTAGAGAAAATCAAACTGGTCAATGCATAGAAGAAAAACATATGAACAGTAACTTCAAAAAAAAAATATCAAAAATTCAGTAGTCCAAAATCGATCTCCACCATTCAAAATGAAGAACAATGAATTTTCTAAATAGCTGCCAAATTTCAATCTGATCAGAATAAAGATAGCCATTGATTGTGGGA